ATAGTTGGTATAGTAAAGAAAATAAGTGTCATTGTATAAATCTATCCCTCTTCAAAAAGTTCCGATTTTTTTTCAAGGTAGACAACTCTCATCAGGATCAAAATTATTGTAAAATGTAAAATAAATTAATTTTAAAAACTTTGTGTGTATTTGGTTCAATTTTCCCCTCTTTTTGTATGAAACTATGTGTCCTGTTTGCTTTTAGCTTGTATTTAGTAACTTTTATCCATACAATTTCAATAAAAAACGCTTTTTGTAACATGTTGCAGATATTTTATGATAAATAAAATATTTGTAGGGTTGATAAGCAATGTTTCTTTTCATAATTTTATTGTTGTAATATTTTGAACAATGCCATACGCTCAAAAAATGTGAAAGTGTTGAATTTGACAAAAAACCATTTTCGGTAAAAAAAAATACCAAAAAATCCCCAGTTTATCGGAATGCTTCGATTTTCAGAAAATCATCTCTGCATAGTACCATAACCATTATGTGAAACTTTCATTGAATTCTGCTGGCTAATTGCGAAAGGGTGGAGCCGAAGCAGGGAAAAGAGCGACAGTAAGAGTTAGTTTGTGATAGGGACCTAAAGATATTACCAATGTGAAATTGTTAGTACTGATAGGAAAGCATACTTATATTGCAATAGTGAAAGAATAATAAGTGGATGTATAACCCCCTCCCCCAATACAAACTTACAATTATGTATATTTTCGTTACTGGCAAATGGAACACAATTTCTTAATGATTGAGTTTGTTGTCAGTCACATGTAGTACAGACCTCATCACACAAAACTCATATCCCTATATAGCTACATTGCACCATACTAATGCACCTCCTTTAAACGAAATGAAAATACAAACAAATCTTTGAAGTCCGAGCTTGTACCCATTAAATCACCATTATATCAACATGATACGGTGGTACATTTAGGACATGCACAATATCATTTTCTACATTAATTATAACGAGGCCCCGACTTATTATCTCGAGCGCTCGAAATAATAAGTCGAGCGCTCAAGATAAATAATGTAAAAAATAATATTGTGAATCACCGTAACGTGGAGCATAATAGCTAGTGTTTATTTATTCCTCTTTTTGTATACGTGTCATTGTTCACCAAAAAAAGTTTTTAATATTTAAAAATAGAATTGTTACTAATACATGTATCACAATTTATACTCCCCTTTTTCTGTAGGATGTGAATATCTACATTTATTGGATCAGGTTGATCAGTGTGCAGAGCATGACTATATACGCATTACCCCTGAGCGAAAGTACAGGGTTGACGAAAGTTTGAAAATCATTCTTAATTCAATATTTACATGAATGTTCTGATAGCTTCCCCACTAGAAGTTTCAGCCATGTCCCCGCCTGTACAGTCGTTAGCTGTTGTATCAGCTATGTCCCCGCCTGTACAGTCATGTCGCAGTACAGAACACAAGACAGCTGTTGTTGAATTTGCATTTTCATCCAATTATGTAAATGACTTAGTGTGCTAAACATTATATGCAATGAATTTTGTTGCGAACTTTTCTACATTTTTATATTTAAAATAAAATTATTGACCTGTCACCTTAAGGACGTGGATTTGTCCCTCTATCATACATATACATACTATCAGAGGGATATTTGTTTGCCCCAATGATTCGTTCAAAACAATAGATGAGTGATGACAATGGCAACGGGTTGCAATCGTGTACACAATAATATGATGGGTCATTTGGACTGCTAGAGATATAACACGATATCACCGTTTCTTTTATTTAAAAACCAGAACGGTCATCCGGAGGATAACGACTACCCCCGCAGGTGCTGGTAGTTGATCATTCAAGAGAGGTTTCAATAAAATCTGCCTGTTAGTTAAGATGGAATTGTCCAGACAAGTTATTTCGCATAAAGGGTCGTAACTCCTTTAATAAGTGTTGAAATCGGAAAGTAAAATGCCGGTGCACAGCTACATAATATACTGATCATTCAAGTGAAATTTCAATAAAATCTGCCTGTTAGTTAAGGAGGAGTTCCCCAGACAGGTTACTGCAAACGACAGGCATCCAGACAGGCTGATCCTTCGTTGCGGTTGGTATAGTTACAGAGCTGTACAGTAGAGAAACTTCATGTTAAATACAACATGTCAAACAAACCAAACGTACACTAGATTGTATACAACGCTGACATCAAGCTGCGTACTTCATAAAAGTGCATTCTGAATGACGGTTGAGAAGTTCATCGTCTGTGCTCATCCTGACTGCTATTTCTTTATAACCACTAAATCAGCTGTACAACTGATCCAGTAGTCTAATTGCATTGTTTACACAACTTTACTAGTCCCTGTCTGCAACTATAGAGACAAGTTCCAACTTACTGTCACACGCATTTGTTTCTCTTTATGTGACATTCAGCCACACTATATGAGGAACAAGATATAACGAGAAACAGTATCCGCACTCATTCATGGTCTAACGTTCACCTTTACGGTCTAATGTGACACACGTGCAACGTAAGTGCCTTACCCCTTGGTACTACATGTACCATACAAAGGTGGTCTCTCTGATAATAAATTCTAACACTAGTTTGCTGAAACTTCTCGATTTGGGGTCATGTTTCCGTACACTTCTCCTTCGTCTATCAAGCTTTAACATCTGACAGTAACGTCTTGGGTCCCGGATAATGAACATCGGTATCATTAACTAATGAGATGTATATATGGGCTTGTTATTTTGGCATGGTACAAAAACCAATTAGAATAAGATCAATTTAGAAAATCAAAAATAAATTATGAAGTTACTATAACAAATTATAGAATATCCAGGTCAATGGCAATGATTACTGGACTCCAAATCTTCCATTTTTCACAAAACAATCCACTTTAAGGAGTCTTAAATTAGGTTTCAACTTAACAATACATAGATCATCAACAGTTTATGGGGGTTAACACGCGTACTTAAACGTAGTCAGTCAGTGGAAACTGATGCAAAACATTTTGCTTTCGTTTCTTTTGAAAAAAAACCCTACATTTTACTTGAAGATTCGTTTTGAGTTTTCATTTTAAAAAGGTATGGTGACAGAATAAAAACGTGTGTTTTTTATCAATATTGGTCGATTCTTTTTGTTCGCTCTGCCTGGTAATTTTATGCAGCCTTAATTTTTTTACACCAAGTTGAAAAAGTTGAATATATTTATTTTCTTTTGAATTACATACGGAGCGTTGACTTTTCAGAAAACCTTGTTGGTTTCCTACAGATACACCACCTATAGTAAAAGTAAACTGTAATAATAATGATAATACTAACTCGAGGTGCCAATATACCACTTTAAAACTAGTTCGTAGGTCGTCTCAAAGCGGTTCACATATCTCAACTCCCTGGGGAGATATATCCATTTCGGCGCTCACAGCTAGCATTCTACAATTCCAGCACTACCCGACCACATACTCATTTACAGCTGAGTAGACTGGAAGAAGCCGAGTAAAGTATCTTGCTCAAAGACTCGAACCTGCAATCCTTCGGTCACGATCCCGACGTCCTACCACTAGACTACCATGCCTCCTAATAGCTGTGGAATACCTACACCAAGTTGTGTTATGTTCCAATCCAGACATTTTATAAATATAGATTGTGGTTTTTGTACGAGCAAAAAGATCGCTGATGCAGTTGTATTGTTTTTCAGTGCAATCGTCGGCGACTCACGATTCTGCACTGGTTTACATGCTGTTCATGTTTTAGACTTCAAATAGTATCTACTCATTACTCGGTAGATTATTTAACTTTTGACAAGATAATCAAAACTATGTCAAGCAATACCAGACACCAGTCAAATCTTACCTAAAACCATCCTCATTGCCAGATTTTGCCAGACCTGTGACTTTGAATCGTGTCGACGGTTAATGGACGATTGGCATGTTGCCATGAGTTTATGAGGAAGAGTCACCTGGTATTACGTATAGAACAATATTTAGAACAGAAAGGACGCATGTTAAATCTTTAATAATAAACTTTGTTATTTTGTTTTATTATTTTTACCGTTGAACAGTTCTATCTTCATGTAAGTAAGCCTACTTATTTCTTCTTCATGTGTCAATATTCCATACGGTGATATACTACCGAAGCCGGTGACACGGTGCCTCGTAATCGGACCACAAGACGCAGTTTTAAATGCGTCTATATACAAATTCGATGTTTCCTCGAGAGAAGACCAAAACAACGATGGGCTTAAAATGGAACTTCTCCATACACTTAGTGTAAAGGTTTAAACTCACAGTGACGCTTATAACAGTAAAAATGGCGATTTTTTGCATGAAATATTCGATAGTATCAAACGAATCACAATGCATGTACTAACAATTTGAGGGAATAGTTACTGAGGAGTCAAATAGTGCTATACCTCTATTTGATGTGGCCGGACTTTTGATGCGGAATGAACACACCTTTCACATTAAGTAATAGATACGGTATGTCAAACATGAATTGTAATGCACAGTACAGCTGTTCCTTCTAGGACTTATCGGTGATTGTAGGGCCAAGAAGTTGGGAATTCAATTTTTTCAGAATTCAAAGTATATCATTTGTTTAATGTGAAAAGATAAATGTAGCCATCTGCCACCTTGTATCTTAAAACTAACGTAACACACACAAGTGAGTGCACCTTGTAATTTGGTAATATTAAGATACTATTTTTATTAAGTATGCTTGTTTTTCCAATTCAATGCTTTGTTTCTCCGATTACCAAAACATGATTTTTTCTGTTCCGTGTTTGGTTGTCCTTATTGTAAAACTTGTCATTTTTATTCTTTGATATGTGTTTGTTATTCCTATCTCATCATTGTTATTGTATGTGTGATATTCAGTGTTTTGAAATCTTGTTGTACAGGACGTTATTATTGATTAATGCCTTCTTTTCCTATCTGCTTTGATACTTTCCAGCATTGGGATAAGTTTGCTTTCATCACTTAGCCTTGTAAAACGTCATATATATTTTTCGTCTAAAACAAAGGTGAAATATGTGTATTCCGAAATGTAAAAACTCTAGGAAATGCTACGATGACAGAGAGCGGTCGTACTCGAAACAACGCAGTAAATGCTACGATGACAGAGAGCGGTCGTACTCAAAACACCGCAGTAAACGCTACGATGACAGAGAGCGGTCGCACTCGAAACAACGCAGTAAACGCTACGATGACAGAGAGAGGTCGTACTCGAAACAACGCAGTAAACGCTACCATGACAGAGAGCGGTCGTACTCGAAACAACGCCGTAAACGCTACGATGACAGAGAGCGGTCGTACTCAAAACACCGCAGTAAACGCTACGATGACAGAGAGCGGTCGCACTCGAAACAACGCAGTAAACGCTACGATGACAGACAGCGGTCGTACTCGAAACAACGCAGTAAACGCTACGATGACATAGAGCGGTCGTACTCAAAACAACGCAGTAAACGCTACGATGACAGAGAGCGGGCGTACTCGAAACAACGCAGTAAACGCTACGATTACAGAGAGAGGTCGTACTCGAAACAACGCAGTAAACGCTACCATGACAGAGAGCGGTCGTACTCGAAACAACGCAGTACCCCCTACGATGACAGAGAGCGGTCGTACTCGAAACAACGCCGTAAACGCTACGATGACAGAGAGCGGTCGTACTCGAAACAACGCAGTACCCCCTACGATGACAGAGAGCGGTCGTACTCGAAACAACGCAGTAAATGCTACGATGACGGAGAGCGGTCGTACTCGAAACAACGCAGTAAACTCTACGATGACAGAGAGCGGTCGTACTCGAAACAACGCCGTAAACGCTACGATGACAGAGAGCGGTCGTACTCGAAACAACGCAGTAAATGCTACGATGAAAGAGAGCGGTCGTACTCGAAACAACGCAGTAAATGCTACGATGAAAGAGAGCGGTCGTACTCGAAACAACGCAGTAAATGCTACGATGACGGAGAGCGGTCGTACTCGAAACAACGCAGTAAATGCTACGATGAAAGAGAGCGGTCGTACTCGAAACAACGCAGTACCCCCTACGATGACAGAGAGCGGTCGTACTCGAAACAACGCCGTAAACGCTACGATGACAGAGAGCGGTCGTACTCGAAACAACGCCGTAAACGCTACGATGACAGAGAGCGGTCGTACTCGAAGCAACGCAGTAAACGCTACGATGACAGAGAGCGGCCGTACTCGAAACAACGCAGTAAATGCTACGATGACAGAGAGCGGTCGTACTCAAAACAACGTAGTAAACGCTACGATGACAGAGAGCGGTCGTACTCGAAGCAACGCAGTAAACGCTACGATGACAGAGAGCGGTCGCACTCGAAACAACGCAGTAAACGCTACGATGACAGAGAGCGGCCGTACTCGAAACAACGCAGTAAATGCTACGATGACGGAGAGCGGTCGTACTCGAAACAACGCAGTAAACGCTACCATGACAGAGAGCGGTCGTACTCGAAACAACGCCGTAAACGCTACGATGACAGAGAGCGGTCGTACTCAAAACAACGCAATTGAAATGTTTTATGCATGATGCATTAGAAGATGTAAAAATGTTACAGGAACTAGTAAGTTCATTAAAAATACCAACGTTGAAACAGCTACATTATAGTTTTTCAATTGCTTGTTGTAAGCAAGCTGTTGTACAAAAACAATTTAGAGAAAAACTGTTGCCATCTAGAAAAAGTTTTAACATCATCAATGGCGGGGATAATAGCAGCTTCTGGACTCGGTTATCACCATATAGTATGTATATACAATAGAAACGGGGAAGATGGGCTCAAGCTTGTTTTGGGAGAGAAAACAAATAAATGCATTCGAGTGACCAATAGTTACAAAATAATCAAACGCATTGCTGAATATCTGTCACAAGAGGCCCAAGGGCCTTAGCGGTCACCTGAGTTATATCATAGGTACTGGTAGCTTTATTTTATTGTTTAGATGTGATGTTGAAATCAGCATGTAAACTAATTGAAATAAAATACTTGTCATGTCATCAAAGGATAAGAATTTGAAAATATTGGTAAATATTCCCTTCGGGGCCCCGACCTAGCCCCTGGGGATCGGGCAGGAATCTTAATTTTACAATGTAATACCCTCATTCACAACAAATGATTCTGACTAAGTTTGAGTAATTTTCTGGTGAAAATGGATAAAATATACCCAAAAGTGTTATTTCCCTATATAAACTATAGTAAACTTACCCTCCCCCCTCCCCCTCCTACAAGGGAGAACGGATACCTCGGGGGTCCTGAAATTTACTATTTGAATAAAGCCCCTGATGATCTTTGTGATTATGCACTGAAATTAAATGTCGTACCTCTGAGTCTGGAGAAGAAGATTTTTGAAATATTTTCCCTTTGGGGCCCTGGCCCCAGGAGTTGGGGTAGGAATCCCAATTTTACAATTTTGTAGCCTCGTCTACCAAGGATAATTGTGACAAATTTAAAAAAAAAATCCATTCACTGATTCTTGAGAAAAAATTGAAAATGTCAAAGCTCAGGTGAATTAAAAACTAAAGTGAAACAACACAATTCATTATCTTTAAAAGGTTTTCATGATAATTCAACAAACACATTTGTATTACTGGACATTTACTAGTTGGACAAATGCATCCTCTTTAAAATCGTGTAAAATTTGTGTTAACTATAGACGCTATCTTGTTTTTTATGTTTGCTGAAACATATCACACACATTTTTAAATACATATCAAATAAAATAATTATTGGTTTAACAATATGATGTAACCGCTAAGCATATTTTTCAATTTGTTATCAATCAGAATTAGATATTCAATTTATTATATACCTAGTTAAATACTTGTAGGCTTGTTTCAATAATGTTCACACCATTTTGTTTTACAAAGAGTCAAAAATACAGGGGAAAAAATACAAAACATTGCTAATAATTATATTACCAAAGATTTGTCATTCTTCACAGAATATTAAAATACAGAAATACATTGTACTATAATTACTGTGTAATGAGTCATTATGTTTATGTTTTGTCCATTGTTTAATCTTAAACTGAAGAATATTGTATGTTTATTGTTGACAGAACAGTGTGTTTTCTCAATATTAAAGTATTTCAAACCAATCCAGGCATTTATTCAGTTGTTTTTTATTAATGAGTCACATGTGTCCATTTTTCTGTACTTCAGGAAACCGGCTACCTATTTCACTACTGTAAAGTTTTTCAAGAAAGATAACTCTTACCTGCAATTACTATGTGTATATGGTTTTATTATAACATGTCAATTTTTAATCGTTTATAGATAATTAACTTTACACAATTTCAGCATTTATTAAATTGATATACATTAATGCAATACTAATCTATGTCAGTATCATTTTTATTGACATTTTGGAAACAATTGTGTGTTTCATGTTTTTTTTCCAAAATTCACTCTTTCGACTTAAAATTCCATTTAGAATCTTTAAAATTGTGACAACCTATTTTTTTTTGTGGTACAAAATTTTGTTTACTTCAAACCAATATTACTACAAAATTTGAAGAAATTTTACTGAGAGATGGTGACACAATCGTATTACCTTAAAATCAATCAGTAATTATCGGACGATACGTCCGATAATTAATAAAAAAATATATTTTTTGAATGATTACTTGTTGCAGTTGTTGTCTGTCCGTCTAAGATATAACTCTGGAAATGCAAGTACAAGCCAACGTTAAGATTTTGTTCAATAATAGCCTGCTTAGTGTTAAATGACATGACGAGACATCAATTGTTCTTAATGAAGTTGATGAAACTTGTTTCGTAATTGTGGTAAAATAAATAAGGTTTATTTATTGATAAAAACGTCTGACTTGATTATCGGGTGAAGTCTCTTTTTATTTGAGATTTTTTTTTATTTATTTTTTATTCATTTTCAAATTTTGATACACACATATGGTACATGATTGTTGGTTAAGCTCTTAACGCTTAAGAATTGTTGATAATATTTTCTTTTCAATTCACTAGGAATAAATATCTATGATTATTTCACTGTTAAACTTTATTGGATTTTCACTAATATTTGTTTTGTATATTTTGCTTGCATTGATAGTTTTATACCAGGCATTCAAAACATCTTTCCAAAATACATTTTTACAATTTTTGATATTTCTTACAATTTCTCAATTCCAATATTTGCTAATTTCTGTTTATCAAATAACGATTCCACAACAATACCCCAATTTCCTAGTTTACAATATATCCTTCTGATCCAAGTTGCTTTAATAGCAGTTATGAAATATTTTAGATGTAACATTTGAAGCCCCCCTTCTTTATAATAATATCCCTTTTTACCTGATCTGGTTTACCATTCCATAGAAAATTGTACAATGTATTGTTAATTTGTTTAATATATAAGTCATCAGAATTGGGAAGCGTTATAAACAAATGATTAAACTGAGATATTAGTAGAGTTTTGATAACAACTATTTTACCTATTGGTGTAAGTATTCTTTTGTTCCAGACAGATATTAAAGACTTCAGTTTTGCAAACTTTTTGTCAAAATTCAGTTTGATAATTCTGTGAAGGTCTACATCATATTCTATGTCTAATAGGGTGAAGAGTGTACTCCCCATTTTAAGTTAAAATTTGTAGTTAAAGTGTTTTCACTGGGTTTTTTGCTGCCAACCCATACTGCTTGGGTTTTGGAGAAGTTCACTTTTAGTCCAAAAATACTAGTAAAAGCTAGTTAAGAGCTTTTAATGTGTCATCTAAAGATTTTTTTGAACCATCTAGAATAACAGACGTGTTATCAGCAAATTGTGATAAGAGGATTTCATTTTCCCTGATAAGTATTCCTTTGATATTTTTTATTATTTTTCAAATTTATTGATAGAATTTCAGCACAGAAAATGAAAATATATGAAGATATCGGATCCCCTTGACGACACCCCCGTTCTATATTGACTTTTTTTGATAGATCCCCCCTATATTTACTGCTGAGTGTGTATTATTCTGAAAAAGTTTTATCCATTTGATAATGTTCGGGTCAAAAATAAAATACTTCAAAGTTTTACTGAAAACATTCCATGACACAGAGTCGAACGCTTTTTTCAAAATCAATTAAAAGTAATAGTCCAGGTATATTATTATCTTCTGTATACTGCATAACATCATAAATCAAGCGTGTGTTTTCTCCTATATATCTACCAGGAATAAAGCCAGTTTGGGTATTACTGATTAATTTACTTATAACATTTTTGAATCTCTCAGCTATTGCACCAGATGCTAATTTATAGATTTTATTAAGAAGTGTTATAGATCTCCAATTATTTAATTTATTACGAGGTTTATTATCTTTTGGAATGCAAGTTATAAGTCCCTGTTTTTGTGTTACTGAAAGTTCAGATATACTATAAATGGTCCTAATTGCTTTCAAAATATTTTTAAAAATTCAACTGTAAAACCATCGGAACCAGGGCTTTTGTTGTTTTTCATTTTTAAAAGTGTGTTTGTTAACTCATTTATAGTAAGTGGGCCTTCTATAATTAATGATTCATTGGCTGATAGTTTGGGTACAGTGTATCATTTGTAAGTGAATTGCGTTTTTTGTATAAGGTTCTGTAGTAATTTTCAGTTTCTTTTAAAATTTCAGTTTGGTCAGATATTATTGTCCCATCTTCTTTGTTTATATTTGAAATAGTTTTACTAGTATAGTTGCGAGATTCTAAATTACAAAAGTAATTGGTTGGTTTCTCCCCCTCCCCTATCCATTTTGCCCTTGAACGTATCATATTTCCTGTAATTTTGTGGTTTCTTATTTCTTCTATACCCTTTTTACATCTTCTAACTCATCTAAAAATGTGTTGTTAGGTCCTGCTTTTTCTAAATTCTTAATTTCATTTATTAAAGTTTTTTCTCTCTCTCGTTAGATTTTTTTAATCTGGCTTGAATATGAAATTGTTTTACCTCTATTTTCCATCATAAGAGTTTCTAAGAAAAGTTGATGGTAAATGCTATTTCATTTAAAGGTATATTATTTATACTATTTATTAGAGATATTTACTATATTTATTGAGGGAGAAATAATCATCCTGCGAGACATACATGCACACTGTGATATATCTTTAGACTTTCTTATTGATACACATTCGTCTAAAATCAGCGCGAGTAAAACTGATTTCTCTTTTACTTTTGCAGGATGTCGAACGGTTTTGTATTATTGTGGCAAAGTCATATCCATAGTTGGTCGGGATGAGATTGGCCAGAGACAATTACTAGACATATAACAGAAGGCTGCACGTGGAGAATGTATGGTGCTAACAATATACACATGGACCTGGTTTTATTTTTTATGAGAAGACCCGTAAACTGGTAGCAAATGTACGAAAAAGATATAAAGAGCGAGACTTTACAGAGTTAACATGGACACGGAACTTATTTCTCCTTTTGGAGTACGGCGTAATGACACGTAATGGGGTAAAGTGATAGAAAGTGAAAACGTTTGAAGGAGATGTACAGCTAATGACAATTACAAGGTAATTAACTCTAGTGGTTAACACTAAT